AAAGTTAGGCGACCTAAACAAGAGTATATTTTTTGTGTAGAATTTAACGTCCTTTTAGATTTTTAGCTTTTTTAAAGCATAGCTCAACAGGTAAAAAAAATATGTTATATGATTTACCTAAATAATATGGTGAAACTAGCGCCCTCTAGGAGCAACGTCAAAATAATCTTCAAATTCGTAATTCTCACACCAAAAAACCCAACATTACCAAGTTTCAGAATCATGCTATCAAAACTTACTTAGCTATTGAGAAATTTCAGAATAAAATTGAAACCTTGAACACCCTGTAGTTCTTAAACCAGCGACATTCGTATAAGGCATGATGAGCTCAAACATAACATTTTGGTGTCTAGTATCTCCAGTTTAGTGTTGACCCATTCTTTCTGACTCACCCAGTATACAGGGTGTTTTTGAATGGAGTAGCATAAATGATACCAGTGAATCTACTTTTCAAAAGAACCCGATCTGCAAAAAATCGCCTTAGTAAAATGTTTACCCCTGAAGAGATATGGGCCATCAAAGTTTCCAAAAAAATTATGAAAATTGGCTGCAATTTGAAAACCGAACGAGGTACAAATAACAAATTCTTTAAAGGTTGTTTACTAATACAGATGCGAGTTTTCAACTATTTTTCGAAAATTTTAACCCCTCGAAAGGGGTTGAAATAACCACCCCTCAAGCCATTTTTTGCCATAACTTTTATATTTCGTAAAAACTCGATATCCAAAAATACGCATTAGATAAACTGGTTCTTTTAGAAACTTTTACCTCTCTAGCAATTTTCCTTTAAAACTTTTCGTTTATTAATAAAAAAATAAAATGTATTACCATTCACCTCACACCGTATATGATTGCAATCAATCAAAGAAAAACTAAGTGTGCTGCTGTCATGCCAGTTGTCACAATTAACTCTTCTGTAAGTTGTCACTGTTATCAGCTAAATACTTTTTGGGTGTAAATTAACAAGAATTATGCCAAATTTTACTAATGATGAATATGTGGACATGCTACAAGTGTTTTTTTCTACGATCGTGCAAAATTTACTACTTATTGCACTACCTACTGTGCCAAAAGTTTAACTTTTTTTACAGTAGTACAAAAAAAATATTGATTACAAGTTTAATCTAAGCATATCCATAAGTACCTAACGTCTGACATTGACAATTTGCGCAATTAATTTCCAGTTGTCAGTTAAAATTTTAATATTATGTAAAATACTGTTAAATAAAATTTGAAATAAAAACAATCGTAGAAAAAATGTTGCGTGCAACATGTGCAAAAAGCATATTTGTTGCACTTAACATGATTGCAGCTCTCAACTTCGTCTCGAGCTGCAAACTTCATGCATCGTACAACAAATACACACTCTTTACAGTAGTTGCACAAATAACTGTTTGAATGTCGCAGAAACTTTTATTAAATAGAAGTACAATGAAAACGAAACTAAGAAATAATTTATTATCAAAAAGAGAAAAAACAAAAAACTTAGTTAAAGGACATTTTCAAAATAATTGCCATTTCTTTCTAAACACAACCTAACACGTTTATCAAAGTTGTTACGGACTCGAGCAAAAATTATGGGATTGTTGCGAATCTCATCAGCCGCCGCGAATATTCTTTCCTGTAGCTCTTCAACACTGTCAACTGGGGTCGCATAAACAATACTTTTTATATGTCCCCAAAAGAAAAAATCCATGGGCGTTAGATCGGGAGAACGTGCAGGCCAAGAGATAGGTGCCTCATTGCCGCGACCTATCCAACGATTCGGGTAATTTAAATTAAGCCACCGCCTAACTACTACAGTGCTGTGAGCAGGAGCCCCGTCATGCATGTACCACATGGCCTGACGTACATTTAATGGTACTTCCTCCAGAAGTGGTGGTAGATGCTCATTTAAGAACTGCAAATATTCAACAGCACCAAGTCGATGAGGTAAAACAAAAGGGCCGACAAGCACATTTTCTACAATTCCTGCCCAAATGTTTAAACTAAAATTATGTTGAAATGTTGTCATAGATACTTCGTGAGGATTTTCATGAGCCCAGGAATGAAGATTGTGCATATTGGTTAAACCATGTCTTTGAAAAGTTGCTTCATCTGTGAAAAGTATCTTTGAGGCAAAATTCAAATTATTTCTTAGAATATTAAGATACGATTCGCAAAAAACAACTCGCTTATGCATGTCTGGTTCAAGTAGAGCTTGAACTGGCCGGTGGTGAAAAGGATATAATAAATTATCATGGACAATATTCCAAACAACACTATGGGACACATTTAAGTGCATTGCTGTTTTTCTCGTACTAGTCTGACGATTTTCGTCAAACTCTTCAAGTACTGCATCCTCAAGATAAATAGTACGAACAGTAGGTCTTCGGCCGGTACCCTCAATATGCGGCTGTATTTTTCCAGTTTCCCGAAGTCTTCGTTCTACCGCCGAAAAAGTTTGTCTGTGGGGAACTTGACGATTTGAATATCTCTCATTATACGCTCTTGTTGCCGCAGCACAGTTTTTGCGACATTCAAAATACACTTGTATGTCCACATATTCATCAGTAAAATTTGGGTTCAGGGGTGAACATTTTACTAAGGCGATTTTTTGCAGATCGTGTTCTTTTGAAATGTAGATTCACTGGTATCATTTATGCTACTCCATTCAAAAAACACCCTGTGTATATATATATGACTAGACCGGCTAAAGAGAGAAAGTAGTAGGGAATGATAATTTAGACTTAATTTTGAATTTGGGGTGTTTTTGTAACAGTTTGTCGGGCGCCATCCGCGTTCGCGGAACCTGGATAATTTCTCCCGTACCGTCCGTTCATACACAAGTACGTACTTTTCCTTGCTAGTAGTTCAGCGTTTATTCAAGAAAGAATGTTTGGATGCAACTGTAGGGCGACTTTAATTACGTGTTGTAATGACTGGGGTAATGATAGTAAGAACACTAACGAACAGAAAACTCGGTAGTGACGGCAATCCCGTCGTCGCAAATGCCGAAACAAAATCTACTCACACTCCTGCAGAATGTGGCGACGTCTGGCTCTGGCTGGTTCGCAGAAGAAATCACACACAGACAAACGGCCACTCATTTCGGCAGGCTTACGACGGCAGCATACGTCGACACCTGGAGCAGTCAAGTACACTTTGCTTGAAGGATTGGGCTGGTAGGTATGAGGAATACACGAATAACCAATACAAGTATTGGTTAATACAAAATCTTTCCAGCACTAACTTTGAGTCTTTTACTTTGTAGGTGACCACCAAGACGGAGGCTCTGGGCCCGACGAACAGTGTAAAGTAGATTAATAATAATTCTGATTTTGACACGGTTGGTTTTTTGACTGATTGATTTTTGACAGTTAGCTTGGTTGCCACTGCGATTTTTTTGGGCACTCTCGGAACGCCGTGCTATTAATAATGGCACCTTCTGCCATCCATCCCCCACGTCCCCGTGTTACGGACCGGGGAGCTTCTCAGGAAGCCAGTTCTAACGCTGGTGTGCGACATGGTACCTTAAGTGGGGATCGAACTCCTATACCCCATGTCTCGGTGTCATGGACCGTGCCAGTGAGTTGAAAATGGCAAACGACAACATAAACGTACGACACTACGCCCAATGGATAACAACCCAGAATTTTTGCATAGATGACAATCGTAATCTGCCTGTATAAAAAATAAGTTTCCTGAAGTATTTTCCAACGATAATATCCTCCTGGTTCAACACGGTCAAATTAACAATTTAACAAATATTTGTGATTTTATGTCACAGTGCACATCGAGCGGCGCCTCCACTATTTTCTTTTTTAATTTTTAATTGCACTTAATTACTATATTAGAAGCGTACATATTGTTAAAATAAGAGCATAGAAAATCTTACTGTCTGCTAATGTAATTTTTACTAACAAAATTTAACATATACTAACACAAAATAGAAAAACAAAACAAGAATAAGTTGAAGTTAAAAAAATAATTTAAAAGAAAGAAAACTATCAATATAATTTTCAATATGGGCACTTTCCACCGCCACACACTTCTTAAGACTACGAATGTTATTTGTTTGCGCACGAAAAAGAAAGTATTTCTGGGATAATAATTTAATAGGTCCGTCCGTTTTTGAGGAATGTCTAAATGAATATCGATATTTAGAATTTTTGAAAAATAATTTGCAGCCACTGAAGAAACGTTTGGTTCATGCACGATGGAGCTCCTACCCATTTCAACATTGATGTACGAAATTATTTATCCGTCGTCTTTAATAATAAATGGATTGACAGAGGACGTCCAATTTCATGGCCACCACGTTCTCCAGACGTAACCCCATTGTGATAATATTAGCCATACCCCAGAAATGCTTTTTAGTTACAAACAAATAACATTCGTAGACTTAGGATGTGTGGAGGTAAGACTTTCTAGGCTTTTATTTTAAAAATATGTACTGTGCTAACATAGTAATTATTAAAAACAAAAATGGTGGAGGCGCCGGTCGATACGCACTCTGACATAAAATCCCAAATATTTCCTAAACTGTTAATTTTACCGAGTTGCAAATTCTTCAGGGAACTTATTTTTGATATAGACAGATTGCGATCGTCATCTATGCAAAAATTCTGGGTTGATAACTATTGGGCATAGTCCGTCCCTGTTGTTCTGGGCATAACGAAGTTTGAATTACTACATCAAAAACAAGCTGTACGCATGTGTTATCGATCACCAAATTTGCAATATGCTGAAGTTAATAGTTTAGAGTCTGTAAATAAAAATAACTTTTTAATTTTCTCCTTTGAGGGTCTGTAACTTGTTAACGAAGGCCCGTTTGGAAAAAATTTATATGAAGAACTGATATTATTTTGACCTCATCTATTTGTACTCGACTTTTTTGTATCAAGTACCGGGACACCCTGTATACAACAATGCCATTTAACGTTTATAAATAGACATTATATTAGTAATACAGTTTACCTAAAAAATGATTAACAGTAAAGATATATAGGTACACTAACCTTAATTAAAAAATTTCGAAGAGTGGTCCAATTGTACACTTCTGAATATGAAGATGTTTGATTTCCATTACAAACGTCGTTCAGTAATTTTAGCTCCTCTAGACTTCTAAAAAAATAGTAGGTATTTACACATACTTTTCAAAACAAAAAAATTAGGCCACTACTTAGACCTCGAATCAACAACACACTAAAATATAAACATTTTTGGATTTCTTTATGCAATTGACGCTCAGATTCAGGACAACAAATGCTAAGAAATTAAGTATATTGTAACGAAGTAATTTTCAGAAAGAGTTTTGAGACATTTTTGTTTTTCTATTTTATAAATATAAATACAGCACCTCCATTTTCAATTTTCACACCGGCTGAATTAATCTGACACGGCGCGAGTGCGAAGTAATTAACCACTAGTTTCAGCACTAAAACAAGATCTCACCCGCGTCTGAGGCCATTCTTTCCGAGCATGAGCATTAGGAATAACACAGCTAAATGTTAAATTTTTACTTTATTTAAATTTAGGAATATTCTTTTGTACCGTTTTTTGTAAGTTTTAAGCACATTAGTGTATTTATTTTACGAAACACGTACTGGTTGTTCTTAAATACTTCCAAATCCTTGTAAAAATAAATTAATTTGAAGTTGTTTATTTTTATAGTATCTATGCAAGTAAATAGTACACAAGGGTCAGATTCAGTAGGTACAACTTCAACTATGACTATTTGTTGCGGGTTGCCTAAATACGTGACGTCACACTAAAAGAGTCTATACGTTACTACCGAGATAGGATATTGCCCCATCCTAGAATCATTAGGGTAAGGTGGGTCAAGTTGACGAATGGGGCAAGATGACGAATTTGATTTTGATGAAAATCAAAAGCAGAAATCTGCAGTATATCAAACCCGTGATATCTGGTCGGGACTTAGTTATAGCTTAAAAAAATAGGTGGCATTACCTTCACTACGTTCGAATTTATGCTTGAAATTGTGTTTACTGGTTAGTCATTATAATATTGCTGTGCAGTAAAGTAAGTTTTTTTGCAAAAAGTAAAGTTAAGACTTTTCCTAGTTGTTGTTTATTTTGTTGTTAGGACCCAATAGATTAACAATGTAAGTAGCACGAACTAATTTTATTTATTGTTTGTTTTATTTATAACGATTTTGTTATAAATTCTCCTGAGGGCAAGTTGGCGAACTCGTCATCTTGCCCCAAGTAGTTTTCCTCAAGATATTTTTTTTTTACAGATGGTGCGTAACTATAAGAAAAAAGTGAACACCGGTCGTAGTCAGAAGATAGTATAATTGCTGCCATGCATGCTGTTGAAAATGAAAATATGGCAGTTAATAAAGCCAGCGTAATTTACGATGTGCCTGAACCAACACTGCGGCGATATATTAAAAAGAATAGGGAAAAAAAAAGTTTACCGCAAAGCGGCGGCAGATTTAAACGTACTTTTACAGAACTACAAGAAATTGAACTAACTAACTATATCAATGATTTTAACATTAGAGCATTTGGTCTTACATCTTTGCAGTGCCGAAAACTTGTCTACGAGTTTGCTGAAAGAAATAGTATTTCACACCAGTTCAACAAAACTCTCAAGCTGGCTGGTAGAGACTGGTTAATTTCTTTCATGAAGAGGAACAAAATCAGCTTAAGGACCCCTGAGTCTACGTCCATCGGACGTCTAATTGGATTTAATCGAGTTGAAGTGATGAGGTTTTTTGATTTGATTCGGGAACTTAAAGTAAAACACAATTTTACGCCTGATCGAATATACAATGCTGACGAATCAGGTTTGTCCACCGTTCCAAGTAAACAGCTAAAAATGTTATCTCCAACTGGATGCAAAAGAGTGGCAAAAGTGGCTAGTGGTGAGCGTGGCCGGAACACGACTGTTGTTTGTGCCATGGATGCACAAGGTTCGTACGTTCCACCCTTTTTTGTTTCTACCAGAGTGAGAATGCGTCCTGAACTGTTACATGGATGCCCCCCTAATTCCGGAGGTATAGCTCAACAGAGTGGTTGGATGAACACAGATGCTTTTGTTCAATACCTTCGTCATTTTATTAAATACACCTCTCCTTTCAACAGAGTGCCAGTTTTATTAATTGTTGATAATCATTCATCCCATACATCTTTAGATGCAATTAACTTGTGCAGAGAGAGTGGAGTGATTATGGTTGGTTTGCCTCCTCACACAACTCACCGCCTGCAGCCATTGGATGTGGGATTTTTTGGTCCTCTTAAAGCATTCTATAACCAGTCCTGCGACAATTTTTTGGTGAATAATCCCGGTAAAACTATTACAGATAAAGAAGTAGGACAGCTGTTTGGAAAAGCCTATTTGAAAGCAGCAACTATAGGAACTGCAGTTAAAAGCTTCGCTAAATGTGGAATCGAACCCTTTGATCCGGACGTTTTTAGCGACGCAGATTTTGCACCAGCTTCAGTGAGCGAGCGCAGACATGTCACCGCAGAAGTGTCTAGTGATGATGACAATGATGAACCTCTCATCAACATAAAAAATAAACTAAAGAATAAAGCTGAAATGTCTTTAGATTCAGCTAGTTCATCCGATTTGCAAAAATCTCCTAGTGTTATTGGACTTCAAATTGATGATGATGAAGGGAATAAGAAGGAGAACGTGGTTCAGGAAGATTTGGCTGTTGCAAGTCCATCAGGTCTTCAAAACTTGAAACCCAATCAGCAAATTAAATTTGTTGAGATTAGACCTTTGCCTAAAATAAATCGACCGGTTCTGAAAACGAACAGCAAGAAGCAAAAGGCGTCGATATTGACTTCAACTCCCAATAAAGAAGACCTCGAAGAGAAAGAACGAGAAAAAAATGATAAAATTACCAAAAAGAATACCTTGAAAAGAATACGTGAAGAAAAAGCGAAAATAAACGTTTTCGAAAAGACTGAAAGAAAATCTATCAAAGAGGCCCTAAAAAAATCTGAAGAGAGAAATGACTTTTTTTGTCCCAGCTACGAGGAACCATACACTGATCCTCCAGTTGAAGATTGAATAAAGTGCGATGTATGCGAAAATTGATAGCATGACGCCTGCACGAACTACGAGAACAGATGTGTCTTCATATGTGACCTTTGCATGTAATCGTCATCTTGCCCCCAATATGTTCGTCATCTTACCCACTATTGGGGCAAGATGACGAAATTGCAACAAGTTTTTATTTTCTATTTTTCCCTTCATGTTTTGTTTTTTCGTTTATGGTTAGTTCATGAAAAATCAGCTAAAGGTTCTATGATTCTATTATACTTTTGAAAACTTTAAAATTATATGTAGTTTATTTTTTAGAATTTTTTTTATCTTAAGCTCGTCAACTTGCCCCGCCTTACCCTACATCTATTTGCAGTTCATTATTAACCGATCTAACTTTCGAAGAAAAAGAAATATCTCTTGAGTATGCAAGAAATGTTTTTAAACTGTCAACGGAAAATGACAAACATGTAATTTTATTATTTGATAAAATTCACATTAACCCATATTTAGACTATAAAGCAGGAAATATTGTAGGGACAGCATGTAATAATAATTTATTGGCAAAATCGGCTTTTGCATTTATGCTTACAAGTATTAAATCAAACCTTAAAGAAGTAATTCACATAAGTCCTGTATCAAAAATTAATCATGAAATGATTTTCTCCTTAGTTCAGACAGTTATAATTAAATTAGAAAACAGGGTTTAAGGTTTTTTGCGTGATATCCGATAATAATGCGGTAAACAGTAAAGGAATGAGTCATTTTGTAACTACAAATAAACTTACTATTGTGTACCCACATCCTGTAGACAAAACTCACCCCCTCTTTTATCTATTTGATACGGTTCATTTACTAAAAAGTAAAAATTGCAATTGGTTAAATGCAAAACCCAATCAAACATTTAATTATCCAGATTTCGAAAGTAGCATTTCAAAAATTGCCGATTTTAATTCATTAAAAGAACTTCATAAATATGGTTATTCTTTAAGTTTAAAAGCCTTATTTCCCTCAAATCTAGAACGTCAAAATGTTACATTAACAATACAAATTTTCAATGAATTTATAATACAAGCTTTATTGGAATTTGGTTGTCAAATAGATAATTCAAAAAAGACTGCTGAATTTATAAGTATCATATTAATTTGGTGGAAAATTGTCAACGTCAAAACTCCTTTTAAAGGCAAACGCCTAAATGATGAATATCAAGAAGTAATTACATCACATAATATAGATAATGATAAAAAAATTGTTTTCTTGGAAAAAATGTTAGATTGGTTAAGTAATTGGAAATCTGGTAATTTTTTGAATAAACTAAGTTCGCAAACGCATACCGCTTTAAGACATACTATACAGGGTCGGAAAGTACCGATGGTTCATCGGCCATTACGTGAGAGCGATAAAGTAAGTAATAGAAATCCAAACGATAGACAAAGATGACTATAATGAAAGCATCTAATAGTCACCGCCCATTTCGCCCTTCCACAAATAAGAAGTGGATCTTATTTGTGGAAGGGCGAAACGGGCGGTGACTATGAGACGCCTTCATTATAGCCATCCTTCTCTATCGCATGGATTTCTATGTCTTACTTTATCGCTCCCATGTAACGGCAGATGGACCATCGGTACTTTCCGAACCTGTACATGGATTATTAGAGGTAACAAAATACTGTTTTGAGGAATTGGATCTTAATTACATATTGTTATGTAAATTTCAAACTGATGATTTAGAGCATAGGTTTGGAAAATATCATCAACTAGCGGGAGGTCAATATCATATTTCTATAAGACAATTATACGAATCAGAGAAAAGGCTTAGAATTCATTGTCAACTTTAAACTCCAAAACTTTTGGAAATATAAATATTAAAAGTTTTTGTGAAAATCGGGCAGGTGATGCATCTTTAGGGCATGAATTTGAAAATTCTTTTAACCCCGACATTGATATCCAGGAACACGAAATAAATAACATTAAACAGGATTTACCAGTAATAACTTATTTGGCTGGTTACTGTTGCTATACCACTCTTAAACACCTTCAGTGTGATTTTTGTAAGCAAAATTTAGTTTATCCTGAAGAAATGGCCGTGGAAGATAATTATAATCTTATAAAAAATTTAAGTCGTGGAAAGCTTCTTTTTCCAAAAGAATTTGCTGTGCAGACAGTATGTTTTTCGTACATTTTATTTAACAAAATTATTTCAGAATTCGAAGAAGATTTCTCATTTATATGTAATAAGCGTAAATTTTTAATTCACTTTATATTTCAATATATTTCAAAAAATGGGTATATGCAAAATTTTTCAGAATGTAATACTCATGATAAAGAAACGATTACAAAGATTATACTTCAATCAACAATAAATACCTTATTAAAAAATTAGTGTTTTAAAAGTAACGACCAAGTAAAGATTAAAGGTAATAATGCTAGAAAAATAGCAACATTTAATAAATAACTAAAATAAGCACTCTTAACTAATAGGTTTTTGCTTTGAAATTTCGTTTTTCCTTTAATAAAATCGAATGGGGTGCGCTGAAGGGATCAGTTGACGCCTGGCACCCTCTTTAAACAGGAATCCCTTCAATCTCTCATATAACGTATTAATATACTCGATAAATTAACTTGCATGTACTTTATTGTTGTTATTTCGTTTTACCTATCTACGATGACGTCACACGTAAGCATCCAGGCCTTCTATCTCGGTGGTAACGGTCTATATCGTACCAAATTGGAAGTCGACGCACAACTCTAAAAACATTAATTTTAAGTTTTTGAATTCTCCCTTTTCAAGTGAATTCATGTAAAATCAATAACCAATTAATTCATGTTCTAACTTGATTTATTTTATTTAGCATTTAACAAAATTATCACTTCCAAACAAAAGCTAAGTTTTATATAACTTTTCAATTACATAGTTAAATGCAATATTTATATGTTTGCCCAGTTATTTGACTTGACAACACTGCCATACTTCGGAACCGCTAGAGTTGCCACTTATTACGACGCCAAATATTGTTGGATGCCAGCTCAGAAGAGTCTGCATCCGTTTTGGATTGCCAATTTCCGGCATTTAACGCGCGATCTGTTGCGTTATATATTTAGTTTGTGATAGTTCGGTCAACGCCATAGTTTTCTGTGCTTGTTCGGAAACTACGTCAGAATCAGGTGAATGATGATACAAGACACCGTTAGACTTAACATAACCAACACTTATCTGTTGATTTAATTCTTCTTCCATCATCTGTTCTTGTCTTAATTCAGCGGCAGTGTTTCTGTGGCAGTAGAGAGCATCTTTTTCAGTTTTAATTTCCTCCAAAGGAAGAACCCAGAGCCTACTCTAATATCAATGTCATCTATTGTAGCAGATATAACAAAGCTATTCAATTTTAGTGCAAAACCGTGCAACCTAGGAAAAAAGTTAAAGAATAGTTTTTCTTCTTAAAATATTTGAGGATTCTAAAAATGGTGAAATATTGCCATTAAGGCATTGTCGTGTCATTTTTCTTAAAGAATATAGTAAAATGTACCCACTAAATAAGCTATTGGTGAACCTATCAAAGTGAAAATTGGCACGTTTGTAGCAAGCAATGCAGCAAATATTTCTTCCAAGCAAAAAAATATTGTTTCTTGCCAAGATAATTGAAAACGATTTTTCTTTAGAAACTTTGCCATCATGTATCTCGAAAACGAAAAGTTTGACGAGTATGTTTATTGATAATATTTAATAAAATAACCTTTATACCTACGTTACTGTTTATTAGAATGTATAAATGTAAAAACTTTAACTTACCCTTCTTTTAATATTCTCTCTGCCTCTGTTTTTTTAGCTTGATTCATATTACAGATTGTTATAGCTGGAAAAGGTATAGTGCTTAAATCAGCATCGAAAGGACTGAAACTAATTATTACAGGACTAGATTGCCATTTTTCGTATATGTTACTTATATAATATGCAGCAAAACCGATAGCCACAGAAAAGGAGATCAACCAAAAAATTCTGAAAAAGCATATCATATACAATTATGAAGGAAACTTTTGAAAATATATTTAATATACATTTATATACCAAAATTTAAACAAGGGTGACATTTTATTTGTAATTCAGGATTACCTCTCTGCGAAAGTGAGGGAAGTATCTCCTATATATCGAAGACCATGTAGTGTAGATTTATCGCAATATATTTCCAATTGATGTAACATTTCCTTAGTTCTATTCCTTTTCCTATATTTATTTCTTTTTCTATCATTTCCTCTAAAACAAAATTGGATAAGATTAACAGATGCACTTTTAATAGTTATTAATTTAGAATTTCCTCAACCGTTCTTTCAAGTAATTTCCAATTTGGAAATTTTCTGCATTTCCTTGTAGGTACTCACGTAAAGATTCAAAAAATGAAAGCTAACAGTGACTACTTGAGTGAACAGTCAAATGACAGTAAAACTGATTATTCACTTTGGAAAGTTGCCAAGAGGCTAAAAAGACCAATCCTGCAGAATTCAGCAATTAAAAATGCAGACGGTACGTGGGCAAAAAGTAATACAGAAAAAGCTAACAAATACACTGAATATTTTGAAAAGACTGTCTAGCCGAATGAGGGTGGAGACACTCTCGACTGATATAATCTTATTCAGGAAGAAGGTGTAGTCAGACCCACAACCTCAAAATAGTAACAGAAATTAAGAAAAACATTAACCCGAACAAACTCTATGGTTTGACTTAATTACGGGGTAAATTCTAAAACAACTCCAACTTAAAACAATTGTAAAACTTACTAATCTTATTAATGCATCTTTCATAATGTATCCAAGATATGGAAAGTAGCAGAAATGATAACGATTCCTAAACTCGGAAAACGGTCACATGAAGTTTCATCTCATAGGCCAATTTCCTTTATCCTTGTAATTTCAAAACTATTCGAAAAAACACTTCTTAAAAGATTAGAACCGGTTATTGAAGACAAAAGACCACCAGTTTGGCTTCAGAGCGTCACTCAACTATAGATCAGGTCCACAGGATCACAAATATAATTGAAAAGTCGTTGGAGGAAAGAAAATTTTATTCTACCGCCAAGCTTTTGATAAAGTGTGTCATGAGGGACTATAAATTGAATAAACTCTTGCTTAACCAGTTTACAAAATTACTGAGATCATATATTTCAGATTGAGTTTTTAGAATTAAGCAGGAAGACGCTTACTCTGAACTCTGAACTTAAAGAAATTAAAGCAGGAATACCTCAAGGTATTGTATTACGGCCAGTCTTTTACTTACACTAGTGATATTCCTGAATCTGAATATAATATAATAATATATAGGGCGTCCCGGAAATGGTAGGTAATCTCTCGGATATGGATAGATAATGAGAAAATAATGTCACAAGTTCATATAAAATTTTTTCGTCCGGGCTCACCCTGTAGAGTTATTAGCTCTTGAAGTTGAGAATTAAAAATGTTTTTTTTGCTGTAACTTTTGTATTTTTCAATAAATTTTGAAAATTTTTTGGCTGGATCTATAATTTTTGAAGCTGCTTTGGATGATAATATGAAATCCTCGATAATAATTATGGGGGCCCGGGGGCAAAGCACCCCCCACCAAAATTTCTAGAAAAAAAATTTTTGTTCCACTATACCCCAAATTTTCCATCATTTTATAAAAATTTATGGTATTTTACGTAAAAAAGGTATACTTGTTGAATATCCATAAAATATAATTTTGTATAATTTTTAACGTGTACTGACAGTTTCTAAAGTGTGATTTTATAACAGTGGTCTTAAAGGTAAATCACATGACTTACTTTTAACACTAGTGCTAAAAATAATTCACTTTTAACACTAGTATCATAAAATGAAATTGACTGACAGCATGCGTTAAAATTATACCTTAATGACGTTTGTAGAAAAACAAGTTTAGAGACAACGGTACTGTTTAATTTGAGACATTTTATTTAACAGAAACACAGGTTTAATCGTAGTTGGCTTTTACATATCAGAATAAAGGACAAATAATTTGCAATAGCAGTGTTCCAAATTATGAGAATTTGGACTTAACTAAACTAACTAAACGAAAAGTGCATGACAATCAAAATTTTGTAACTAATATAATTCATAATAAATTCTCAATATTAGTTCCACCTTCTCTTATACAAATACGAGCTCGTTTAACAGAAGACTGTTGCACTCTCCATAACATTTCAGGATTTTGTCGTATTTCATTTGCACAATAAAAAATCCTTTCTTCTAATTCTTCTCTAGTGGTTACAGGTGTGGAATAAACAAGATTTTTCAAGTGCCCCCAAAAGAAAAAGTCAAGTGGGTTCATATCTGGAGTTCGGGCAGGCCAATGAATAGGTCCACCGCGACCTATCCAGCGATTAGGATATACCTCGTTTAAATGGTCCCTTACTGCAGCACTAAAGTGAGGCGGCGCCCCATCGTGCATGAATATCAGTGCATTTCTGGTTTCAAGATCAACATCTTCTAACAGTTGTGGTAATTGATGCACAAGGAAATCTAGGTAACGTTGACCATTCAGTCTAGGGGGTAACACAAATGGACCCAATAAGTAAGGACCAATAATTCCACTCCAAACATTAACATAAAATTGTCTTTGGTGCCTAGTTTCAATAATAGCGTGTGGGTTCTCATCAGACCAATAATGTAAATTATGGGAGTTAATAACTCCATTCCTCCCAAAACTTGCTTCGTCAGTATACAGAATTAATCTCGTAAACATAGGATTTTGCTCATGTCTCTGAAGAAACCATTGAGAAAACTGTACTCTTGCACGAAAATCATCAGGATTAAGAGCATGCACTTTTTGGATATGGTAAGGGTGAAGAAGCTGTTCTCTAAGGATTCTTGCAACAGTGGTCTTTGGAACATTGGTAAAAGAAGATAATGACCTAATGCTAACTGTTGGATGAGCAGCAACTTCGTCCAGTATATTTTCCTCTACTTCAACTGTACGTGCTGTTCGCGGGGCACCCCTGTTTGCAGTAACAGGAGCAAACTGACCTAAAGACATTAAAATTTATTTAATATCCATTTTGTTTAATAATAGTAATCGTATTTTACCAGTTTCTCTTAATCTTTGATCAATACGTTCGAAAGTTTTGCGATCCGGAATCCTTCTATTAGGATAAGAATGCTGATAAAATCTTCTTGCTGCCGAAGCATTACAAAGAGCCCGCCCGTACATTAAATGCATATCAGCATATTCTTCATTGGAATACTCCATATTTTATAACAAATTATGAGTTATGAGATGAGTCTTAGATTTAAAACTACGTATTTGACAAGTTTGACAATTTAATTGCCTTTGGCATACTCTGACATGTCAAAGCCAACCACGATTAAATCTGTGTTTCAATTAAATAAAATGTCTCAAATTAAATGGTACCTTCCTCTTTAAACGGGTTTATCTCAAAAAATATCTATTTTATGGATATTCAACAAGTATACATTTTTTACGTAAAATACAATAAATTTTTATAAAATGATGGAAAATTTGGGGTATAGTGGAACAAAATTTTTTTTTCTAGAAATTTTGGTGGGAGGAGCTTTGGCCCCGGGCCCCCATAATTATTATCGAGGATTTCATATTATCATCCAAAGCAGCTTCAAAAATTATAGATCCAACCAAAAAATTTTTAAAATTTATTGAAAAATACAAAAGTTACAGCAAAAAAACCATTTTTAATTCTCAACTTCAAGAGCTAATAACTCTACAGGGTGAGCCCGGAGGAAAAAATTTTATATGAACTTGCGACATTATTTTCTCATTATCTATCCATATCCGAGAGATTGCCCACCACTTCCGGGACACCCTGTATATACATATAAGATTGGTGCGAATTCGCACAGTGTGACGTTAGTGTGGGCAAGTGTGTGGCTGAATTTATATCATATAATTTAGAAATAAATTCTGGTTCGACCATACTAGAGAGTAGTAGTGCTCTTAATAACAGATAGTATTTTTGTATAGTCTCATAAAGTTTTAAAATAATTTTGTTTGCAAAGCAAGTACTGTTTGGTGTTGTGCGTGTGATAGTGTATTTCGTTTGTTAATGTGGCGAATGCATATTTGTAAGATTTAACATGACTTTAAACTGTGTGATTTGTAAAGAGATAATAACTTCTCGCAAAAACCTTTATTGCTGTGAATGTAAAAACGCTTCACATGTAGCTTGTGTACATAAATCCGCAGACGTTGCCGGTTTAATTGCTGAAATTAGTGGATTGTCCTGGAAATGCGATGATTGTCTCTCTAAATATATTTCAATAGATCAAAGTAATCTAAATCAACTTGTGAATGACCACGTTCATGCTGATATTACGTCGTTCACAGCAGCTTTTGAAAGTCTAAAAAATGATTTAACTGCTGTCATATCTAAAAAATTGATGTCAAATAATGATTTACCACATACACCTGTTAGTTATGCAACTGTTGCCAAAAGTAAAACGCAACCTGCAGTATTAATTGTGCCAAAAAATCAGTAGCGTAGAAAAAACTAAGCTAGGCATGACTGAACAAATTGATCCTGCTGAATTTAATATACAGTTAATTTAAGTAAAACCTGCAAATAATGGATCCATTTTGATCGGCTGTAGAAATTCAGAGGAAAATAAAAATTCTAGGAACTAGTTGAAAATAAACTTGCTACATCCTACGAAGTGCGCGAACTACGTGGAGTTAATCCAAGGATCCGTATCGTCGGTTTCTCTGAAGCATTGGACGAGGATGGTTTATCTTTTATCGTGAAAAAACTTAATTCTGAAATTTTTTGTCATGACTCTTTGTGTGAAATCATTAGGATATGGAAAACTAAAAGGAATGCCAGAGTTTTCCAGGCTGTACTGCCACTAGACAGAGTAACATATGATAGAACTCTGAAAGTAGGTAATATTTTTGTTGGTTATGATGCATGTAAGGTGTTTGATGCTGTTGAAGTTATGCGCTGCTATAATTGTAATGAGTTTATTCATTCTTCAAAAAACTGTAATAAGCCTCCTTGCTGTCCTAGATGTGATGATGCTCATCTCATTAAAGAGTGTAATTCACGTGTTTTGAGCTGTTCCAACTGTGTTCATTTTAACGATGCAAATCGTGGCAACCCTGTTGAATCTGACCATGCTGTTTGGGATATAAACAAGTGTTTGGTGTATAAAAGAGCATGTTTAAAACTTCGCGCTGATATCTTGGCCCAATAGCAATCAACTGTTTCCACCTCTATTTCCTCTACTTTTTTTGACCCA